AAACTGAAGCATAGTTAAATAATTTAGCCAAAGTCATAAAACCATAGTTAAAGAGCTAGAATTTCAACTTAGTCTGTTTCTAGAACCCAGATATAAAATTTTGGCACCATTACATATCTCTTCAGAGCAAGAAACATTAATTCCCACAAGATCCCATTAAAATTCAATAAGAATGATTACATGAAAACATGATGAGATTGAGGTCATTTTCCTGTTTTAGACTATGAGTTTCATATTTAGACAGCATCCTAAATTTCTTCCCACTATAAAAGAAGAGACCTGCTCATGTTTTTATTTCTTTCTATTCCATTTCAATTCCTGATTTTGTTAGTCACGTTACTTTTGAGTGTTTATTTATTTATTTATTTATTTATGAGTGTTAATTTATATAGTTTCCTCTCAACATAATTTCTACAGATTTTAAAGTTTATTTTCTTGTGTAAATTAATTTTCACTTCTATTCTCTAACATGGCTTCTCTGTTACTGAGATCTTTACTTTGTTTTCTGTCATGGTTGGCTAAATTTCATGATCAGGTAGCCTCTTCCTCTTCCTTCCCAGTAGGGTTTTTCAGATCTGTCATGGATAAAAATACTTGCCTGTGGCATTTATAGTTGGAGTACAAAGTAATTGAATGTGAAAATTGAAGATCAAGTACTTTTTTTGTCTTAGTCTTAATAATAGAGGTAATTGAATATCCTGAGAAGTCTTTATTTTCCCTCCCTACTTGTGCTTGAAATCCCTAGGAACCTTAACCCAGTAATTTTTCAGTATTGACACTTACATAGTAATTATATTATTTGAAAATAGAAGTCCAAGCAAAACCTCTGTTTATTTTGTCACTTAGTATTTTGTATTTTATTAATTCTATTATCTTGCCTGAGCACATCAATTTTAAGTTTATTGGATCACCTTTACCTAACTTTTCCCCAGTAGCTTTTTCTCTAAATTATATTAAGATATTTGTTACTTTTTGTTCTTTTTGAGATGTTTTGTTAAGCCTGTCCTCCATATCTCTGGATATGGTTGCAGTAGCATTTATTCTAGTTTTACTTCTTTCTAATATGCCTCTTATTTCTATAATGAATTTTCTTATTATCTGCAGGCAGTATTCATCTATCTAACTTATTTTTTCCTGCTAATCTTTTATGTTTTCCTTGAGCTTTTTTTTTTTTTTTTTAATTAAGGGAAACTCTTTTATCTTTCCTTTGTTGAATCTCTGAGCTCTTTTCCCCCCTCTTTTTTAGTAAGTAATATCTTTGAAACTCTGGAGCACTCTTTCTTAATATATATTCTACATTTGTATGGTTATGTTTCTTCCCCTCTCAACTGCTACCCTTCCATCTCCCTGTGTCTATGTAAAACTCTTTTATACTTACTAATTACTCCCTGAATGGGGAGATTTCTATCTTGTCATACTATTTGATAAAGAAGTTAGTGACATACAAATGGAGCATAGGTGGAGTGAGCTGAGGCACTCCACACCTTTAATTCTGATTTATTCTCTGGATCAGTGGCTGCCAAATTTTTTTTTCAGTAGAGTCAGCAAGTATTTTCAGGCTTTGCAGTCAATACAAAGTGACTGCTGCAGCAGTACAAAATTAGCCATAGAAAATATGTAAATGTGTGGGTATGGCTCTGTTCTAATAAAATTTTATTTAAAATACCAGACTTAACCAAGGAACTTATATGCATAACCCATGGACACAGACAATACTGTGGTGAAGGTCTGGGGAGGGGGTGG